CCCGGGTGGGCGCGGGCCCGGGTGTCTGTGTGTTGGGGGGAGCGGGAAGGGGTTGGAGTTGGGGCAGAGCCAGTCGGGCCCTGGGTCTCTGACCTCCGTCCCTCCCTCCCTCCGTTTGTCCAGCTGGCTCACGCCATCCGCCTGCTCCTGGAGTACACAGACTCCAACTACGAGGAGAAGAAGTACACGTTGAAGGGGGAAGGTAATGGCATCCCTGTCGCGTTCCGACTTCAGCCCAACTCCTGCTGATTGGTCCCGAGAACCCGTGCCCGGCCACCTGTGGCTTCCCTCTGCCGCCCTCCACTGGCCGGAGCAGGCCCTGCCCCTTCCTTCACCCTCTGAGGGTGGACCTTGGCCTCAGGCAGGGCAGGAGGGGCCCGGCTGGGCCCCTGTGTCAGTAACCGCGATGGCCCCCGGGGTTTGCCCGCACTCATGGAAGCCTGGTCCATGGGGTGCCTGGGACTTCTCAGCGTTCTTTCCCCCAAACCCGGGAGAGAGACTCCGTGCTCAGCTTCCAGACTCCCCTGCTCAGGGGCCGGGCCCCTGACTCCCTGGTGGGTCCAGGGGAGAGAGGGCTGGGCTGGGGGTGGTCCCTTCACTCTGTCTTCTCCACCACAGCTCCCGACTATGACAGAAGCCAGTGGCTGAGTGAGAAGTTCAAGCTGGGCCTGGACTTCCCCAATGTAGGTGCTGGGAGTGGGGGGCGGTGGGCGTGGGGAACCTGCCTCTACTCTGAGGCTCCTTCCCGGCTTAGACAGAGGCTTTGGGACCCAGGGCCTCTGCTCAGCCCCCCAGCTCCCTGGTTCTTGTTGCTGCTTCCCCACGATGCTCTGTGTGCAGCTCATTCCTTCATGTGACAGACACTGAGTCCAGGTTTCATCTCTGCCCCCGATGCAGGGAGGGGCTTCAGGGTGGCCCATGGCCTCCTGCCCTGCCTCTGTCCCCCCACAGCTGCCCTACCTGATTGACGGGGCTCACAAGGTCACCCAGAGCAATGCCATCCTTCGCTACCTTGCGCGCAAGCACAACCTCTGTGAGTGGGGCTGGGGTGGGTGCTGGGGGACTGGCGGCCCTGGCCCTGGGCTGGTGGGGTGGGAGGCTGAGGCTGAGCCCCTGTTGTGTCAACAGGTGGGGAGACGGAAGAGGAGAAGATCCGCGTGGACATGTTGGAGAACGAGGTGATGGACCTCCGGATGTTCCACATCAGGACCTGCTACAGCCCTGACTTTGTGAGTCCCCTCCCGGAGGGCTGGGCTGCGTAGGTGTTGGTCGGAGGCTGGACTTTTGCGTCCCCTCCGTGCATGTCCTGTCTGCCATTGAACTCCTTGGAGCTTCTGATCCTCCACGCTGGTCCCTGTCCTGTCAGCAGATTGGCCCTCAGGACCCCTAATGCCTCAAATGAAATCTCTGACTCAGTTCCCCTCAATCTTCGCACAGAGTGCAGACTCCCGCGGTCGAGGTTTAGTTCCTAACGGTGTGTGCAGCTTGTTAGCCCCGCCTCCTTGACACCTTTGGGCATCAGCACACTTTCCCAGGAGGCGGCGTGGGCACCCACAGGGCCTGTGGGCCCCTCACTCCTTCCTTTCAGTCTCTCAGGTTCTCCCCGTCTGTCCAGAAAGTGCTCACGGGTCCTTCTGTCACCCACCAGCTGGCACTTATTTTTATTTATTTCTTTATCCTCACCCGAGGATATTTTTCCATTGATTTTTAGAGAGAGTGGAAGGGAGAGGGAGAGACAGAGAGAAACACAGACGTGAGAGCGGTCCATCCATTGGTTGCCTCCCGCATGCCCTGACCAGGGCCGGCAGCCTACAACCGAGGTACGTGCTCTTGACCGGAATCGAAGCCAGGACCCTTCAGTCCCCAGGTGGACGCTCTATCCACAGAGCCAAACTGGCTGGGGCACCAGTTGGAACGTATCGTTTCTGCCCCTGGGCCATTTTAGCTCTTTGCTTCTTTCAATCTGCCTGCCGTCTGGGTCCAGGCTCTGCAGGTTCCCCGGCGCCTGGGTCTGGCCCAGGCAGGGTGTGGAGATGAGTGGAGACAGGGTCAGGCACAGGCTGGTATCTCTCTGTGCTTCCCAGCTGCCTGTCCCAGCGGGAGGTGGTACCCCGGAGGAGTGCAATGACCACAGGTTGGATTAAATTATAACCTGGGCACTGACCCAGGTGCAGCTGAGGACATGGCTGCCCACTGTGGCAGTTGGGCACAGCCCTGGGAGGCCTGCCCTCTGCCCAGGGAGTCCCTGGCGCGGGTGGTGACCGCCGTTTTGTGCCTCAGGAGAAGCAGAAACCCGAGTTTTTGAAGGTGCTCCCTGAAAAGCTGAAGCTCTTCTCAGAGTTCCTGGGGAAGAAGTCTTGGTTTGCAGGGGACAAGGTACGGGGAAGGCTTTGGGGTGGGGGAGTGGACACGCTCCTCATTTCAGAGTTTGGTGCCCATTCACCCTGTGCCTGCCCGCAGCTCACCTACGTGGACTTCCTGGCCTATGACCTGCTGGGCGTGCTGCGCATGTTTGAGCCCAAGTGCCTGGACGCGTTCCCGAACCTGAAGGACTTCTTGGGTCGCTTTGAGGTGAACCCACTGATCCTCCTACTGTTTTGTGTGTTTTGTCTCCTTCGTTTCCCTGATGCTTCTCTCGTCGTGGAGCTCAAATGAGGCTTAACCGGCATTCACGGAGGACTAGCTTAATGCCAGGATCTGTGCTCAGCGTGATGCTAACAGTTGGTGAAATGTAATCTTTAAGACATTCCTACATGGGAACATTTTTCACGTCCATTTTAGGAAATGGAACTGAAAGGGTGGGTCGTTTGCTCAAGGTCACAGAGCCAGTCCACTGGGTCACAGCCCTGGCACTGGTGCGGGGCCCCCAGTCAGCGGGGGCTTCCATGGGCAGCAGGCAGAGGCCCCCCTTTCCTGTGCCAGGAAGGTGAGCTCAGGCCCTCCTCCAGCCTGCATGTCACAGCTCTGGACTTTGTAGAGGAAGCAGGACATTCCAGAATGTGTATGTAGGGAATGAGTAGAGCTGGGATGCGGTAGGGATGACATGAAGTACCAAAGACAGTGTTTCCTCCCTGTCTCCAGACAGCTCTGCAGCCTGGGGTGCCCTCTGGGCAGTGCTGAGATCTCCGGGCTGTCGGTGCTGGGATCTGAGTACACACGTGGGGGCCCCTGCAGAAGCAGGTTTTTGTTGTTAACCCTCACCCTAGGATAGTTTTTCCATTGAATTTTGGAGAGGGTGGGAGGTAGGGAGAGAGAGAGAGAGGAGAGGGAGAGAAACATTCATGTGAGAGAGGCACATTGATTGGTTGCACCCTGACCGGGGCTGGGGATCAAACCTGCAACCCAGGTACATGCCCTTGACTGGGAATGGAATCTGAGACCCTTCGGGATGTGGGCGGACGCTCTAACCACTGAGCCCACCAGCCAGGCGGACAGATTTCATCCTCACATCTTCTGTGGGCCCTTCCCTTCCCTAACTGTCTCCTTTTCCTTCTTTCCAATGATCCAGGACACTGTCTCGGAGGTGAGGTGGTACATTGACTTTCAGTCGTATTCATGGACGTTCCCCTTCCCCTCTGGGTGCAGGAGTCCCCGCTGTGTGGTCCTGCGGTCCCACGTGGGTGGTGGGGGTGCATGGCCTGAACTTCACCTCACAGCTCATCATCCGTTACCTTAGCCAACTCACAGGTGAACAGGGTCGGCTTCATCACAGATGTGGCAATTTGAGGCATCCTTAGGCCCAGACTTTTCAGCTCACAGTCTGTTTCCCTTTCCCCTCCCCATCAAGAGATCTGCTTTGTCAGCCAGTTCCCATCGCCTCCCAGGAGGCGGCGTGGG